GATAAAGCAGTTTTCTTATTCACTATGAACGTACATGCGCACCGACCGCTCTTTCAGCTTCCAATTTTGATTTTCGCGCCTGTGACTATTCCCCGAAAGCGTGGATCAATTTGACACACTCTTCTAGAAATATGTATATGCGATAGGTATATGCGATCGGTATCTCGACAACTAGACCAGGAAGAAAAAAAGCCTTTGTGTGTATGAAAAATATTTCACAACGAAAAGTTTTCAAACTCTGGATGCTTTACACTTATTTTTTTTTAAAGCTTGAAACTCGAAAGGGGTCAAACTTACCCACTTGGGTAGTTCTAGTGTTAGTGTCATCAATGCTTGGTCTTGGCACTTGTCTTTATTGCTATCGATGAATAAATTTTTCTATTTACTTGTGTGCCTATCAAATTCTAGCTCTACGAGACCCTACGCGGCATACCGTATGAAAAATCGGCTTTCGAAGCCAGAGACCAACAGCCATAACATAATAACATATATATAGTAAAACTTTTTCTAAATCTCTTAGTTTCTGTGGGTATTTTACTTGATTTTACAGTGCAATTCAACATTTAAACAGTCAACCACCACACCTCGTGTTAGCTTTACGCGTAAATTATCCTTCATTGGATGCATTGCAAAATAGCAAAACAACTGTTTAAGCAGCACACAACAATAAACGGCATTCTCTTTTATTCCATTTGCAATGTCCTTAGAAAGAGTTCCGTGGTAATGCGAATAGGAGGCAAAAAAAAGGCAAATTCCTAACACTTTTTTTTACGGCTATTCTACGATTGTTCCACGATGTTGCCACGATGTCTAAGTTGTAGACAATGCGCTTGCATATGAATATGCATAACCCCGACGCGCTCACTCTAATATGACTTATAACTATTTTTGTATTTAAATCTTCCATATAATCTCAGATTACGGCCACTCAGCATGTTCGTCATAAATTTTCGATCTCATCAAAGAAAATACCGAAACAGCCCAGCTACTACCTGTTAAGGCGAAAGTAAACGATAGCAACTAGCATGACCTTCATAGTAGTGTGACTATTGAGAAAAGAGGGCGTTTTTAAAAGAGGCCCTCTTTTGTAAATATACGATTCGAGTTCTCTGTAGAAGATCCCGCTGTCGCGAAGCTCAAACTATTTTAAAGTCATCAGCAACATTGACAATAAATTACACCCCAATAAAACGAATTTGATTACAAAATCTTTACCGGGACTAACGAAAATTAAAACAATTGCGCCGCCCCGCCTATAATCTTCAATAAGAACGCCGCTTGCAACACAATCAAAAAAAAGGAATCGTTTTATTGAACGTATGCAATGCGGTGAGGAAAGCCCTTGAAAAAAATCCTTTATCACAACTCTTAACTCAGAAGAATTCAGTGATCCTGTTCCGCTAAAAAAGCGAAAGGACTATGACTATTAAGACTTGTAGAAAATTGTAGACAAGTGCCTCTTAGAGATTATAAATTATTGGGAAGAGTCTGTTGAAAATTCTTTTTTTTATTTTTGGCTTATATTCACTTTAACTGGTGTATTATGAGCATTTGTAAACTTAAGCTATTGCATGTATGTCATGTTGCAACTATTTATCTCATTTTTGAAAATATGAAAAATTTAAACCATTAACCGGCAGATAAGCAGCTGGCTAAAGATACGAATTAATGCACTGCGGCTAAGTCTAATAGAAATTAAAAAATATGTATATACACTTAAGGAGCGCTCTTAGGTGCACTTGTCAGGACATTATAAACGCATGTGACACTTTCTTAAAAGGCGAAAATGAAACTATTTGATCAATAGAATAAAGCGACAATATCTTGCGGAATCGCAAGTGTACATATGTCAACTGATGCAGCTTTCAATGCTACTATGCAACTATCAATGGATAGACATTGTACCGCTACCAAGTGAGAGCGTCACTATTCCCTCAGTAATTGTTGAGAAGCCCTTAAAAAATTGTAAACTAAAGCAACCATAAAAATCGAAAGAAAAGATAACTTACGATAGTTGCATATGTAATGACGTCATTTAAAATTTTTCAGCAAATATAGTTTCTGTTGGCACCCAACTCTTCTTTCTAATGAATAGAAATTTTGTTTGAGAGAAAATGCATTCAAAACACACGTCCCGAAGACCGAATCACCTGTTGTGATTTTCAGAATAAAAAAAAAAAGCATCATTAATAGTAATGAACTTGCTAAACGTATAAGATAAAAATGCAAAATTTATGCCATAATATGTGATAATATCGTTTACGGCTCGATATGGATGCCAAAAAAAAAAAAAATATATATATATATATATATATATATATATATAAATATTTTTTCCTTTATTTGTAATGTAGTAACACTTGTGTAACATGGGCATATAATATAACTCAAGCGGATAAATAAATGGAAATCAATTTAAAGAATAACGAACGTTTTGTGCATTTGCAATAACAATAATTATCTTTCTATCTATTTTTCTCACTCTCTGTCTGTCTCTCCATCTGATTTGAATGTAATAGCATGGTAAATTGATTTGGCTGGCAATCGTCTTACCGTTTAAAGATCCAGCACGATGGCCAAGAAATGAGAGGCAAAAGCAAATAAGAAAATTATATTCGGGCGTGACCGAATCTTTTATTCCCATCACAGTTCTTCTAAAAAAGATTAAAAAAAAAAAAAATAAATAAAAGGACAAAATTTTCATCTTCTATAATGTGGAATGGGCGTGGCTGATTTTTTTTTTTTTTTTTTGTTTGCAAATTTTTAAGCGATATCTTCCTTTTCGCTAACGCGAGATTATTGAACAATTGGGCTGTAGATTATTTATACTTTATGGGGTTTTTGAAGACTACTTCTCTTTTAAAGGTTTTGAAAAAAAGTGAAATTATAATGCAACATAAATTTAATAGGTGTCGGCGATTCTTTCCATTTCTATATTGACAATAGTTATATACGTTCAAATTGTTGTAGATTTGTGTGCTGCAATTTAGAAGTAATGTACAAGAAGCCAATTTTTTATTCCAGCAGAGGTGTCGGCAGTCTACGTGTTATACTGTAAGCGTGTCCTTCAACCATTTTAGCCCATTTTCATTACCAACTTGCGTGCAAGAATTTGCAATCTTTACTTCAATTTTGGGGCCAGGAAAATGTTTACAACTGAAAGACAGACAGACAGACAGACAGACAGACAGACAGGTGGATAGATACATATGTTTAAATGGATTCCAAAATTGATGTTGTGTATATATGTTTTGTAAGAACTATGAACTTGCCTTCTGGGCTTTGCAAACGTTTTGACAAAATGAACCCATCACCGAAAGTTGAGAGGTGTAATAAATGAAAATATCTTCAACGGCATCATTTGGCAGTCAGTTTATGTAAAATGCCAAATTTTGAGTTGTTAAATAAACCAAAATTTATTTAATAGATTTTATTAATTGTTAAATAAATGCTGTAAATATTCGTTCATCAATGTTTGAAAATATGATTAATAACATCTTCTGCTCTACTATTTGAAAGTGTGGTACATTATTCCATTTTTCAAATAAACTATGATGATTACCTATAGGAAATAATTATGCAAATTTAATAAAACAAAGTATAATATAAAAACGTATAAACTAATATGCAAGTAGCTAATTCAATACATTATGTGCAATATAAATGAGATCGCAAAAAAAAAAAAATAAAAAATAAAACGCATTAATAGCATTACAATATAAATTTTTAGTATTGCTATAACGACTTCCGTCTAATGTAGTTGGAGTGAATTACTTTGATTTGGAGTTTTATCTTGAGTTGTAATTCAAGATCGTTTTAAGCAAAGTAGCCATCAGTTATATCCATCTCTAATATGAAATGGTTGTAGGAATCATTTCTATGTACAAAAAAAAAAAGAGTTGAAAACGGTGATACTATCACTGATCCTAATGTTTTTTTTAAAAATAGGACACATCACTGAATAGGCCTCTGAGCAAAAGCAAAACTTTTAATAGATCCACAAGATTACTGGATAATAACAATTTTCGAACGCGATATGTTATAAAATTTGACAATTAATTTGCAGCATGTAATTGTTTCAGTGTCAGATTGGACACTTACTGGGTGATGTGATAAATTATATTTTCAAAAGGAAGAACGCCTTTTCCCACTACCCATCCAAGTAATCATATATACATATATCCACTTTTTGCATATGCTGCGTATAACGGCCGAAAATTCAATTGCTTTCATCATCGGTTTTTTTTATTATTACTGCTCGATTCCCAATTTCTTAAGCTGTTGAGACTATACCACTTATCCCTTGACTATTGGAATTTTCAAACTAAATCAACTATGAACTGCTTTCTCTTTGTTCAACGTACCTTATTCATAAAAAGTATAAACGTATTCGCCGATCCGTGCTTCTGCCAAAATAGAAAAAAAAAAAAAATGATATATGTAATGTGAGTAGAAATATTTATGATATTTTTGTACGAAAAAGTTAATCGTTGTTGAAACGACAAACAAAGCTTAGTTACTTTAAGGATAATTCAACGAAATAATCGCTTAACCTTTAAGAAATTTCTTCCATTCTCTTCCAAAAAAAAATTAATTATGAGAAAAATTTTCTAACTGGCCGCACAATACTTTGCCTATAAGTAAGTAAAGAAAAACTCAACACTTTTATATATCGTCTAGTCTAACAAATGCACTATCAAACGATATGCATGTGATGACCCGACGTACATACTTGCGTTCTTTTAAAAAAAATGCTTAGAGTGCAAAATTTGCTTATGATTATTCGCCTTTAATTCGAAAATCAGCTAATACTGCTCATGATGGATACAAAACAAAATTCAATCCAACTCGAATAGAACTAGTGGCTTGATGTGGCAAGTATCCAAAATCCACACATAATTACGCCACTTTTTTTTTCTTTTTTTTGCTTATTACTAATTAATTGCTTCTTTAAATATCAAATAATTATCTTATTATAATTTTTAATTTTTATTACTTAGGTCTTTACCCAAATTGAGCAGTCAAGACGAAGAAGGGGGGGCTGGTCATGGCTATGGTGGAGGGCCACAACATTTTGAACCCATTCCTCACGATCATGATTTTTGTGAAAGAGTTGTAATAAATGTAAGCAATGACCATTTCTTTTCTTTTATTTTTATTTTTATTTTTTTTTTATGTTAATAGTAGTGATAACAATAATTTTTCGTTTTGCAGGTAAGCGGGTTAAGGTTTGAAACACAATTAAGAACGTTAAATCAATTCCCCGATACGTTACTGGGGGATCCAGCTCGGCGATTACGGTACTTTGACCCGCTAAGAAACGAATATTTTTTTGACCGTAGTCGACCGAGCTTCGATGCCATTTTATATTATTATCAAAGCGGTAAGTTGTACCATTAGAGTGGTAAAAAATGAAAACAAAAAAAAAAAAAAAAAAAAAAACCTCTTATTTACGTATTAAATAATGCTCAAGTTTAAAAATAAAGTTAAAACACTTTAAAAAATATGCTTTTAAATCTTTCGTCTTTTTTCTTCCCTTTTTTTTCATGAATAATTATTTTTAAATTTTCTTTGTATATATATCACACATGTATATATATATGTATATATATATATATATATATCTTATTTTTATTTTGTTTTTGTAAATATTTTATTGAAATTCCTTTGCTTTAGGTGGCCGACTACGGAGACCGGTCAATGTCCCTTTAGACGTATTTAGTGAAGAAATAAAATTTTATGAATTAGGTGATCAAGCAATTAATAAATTCAGGTAAGACTTATATTTGCCTTTTAAAGGTTAAAAAGATTTTTTTTTAAATCAAAAAGAAAACAAAAAAAAAAACAAAATAAAAGCAAACCAAAACAAATAAAAATTACTCGCAAAAAGGAGAAACGAAAAAAGAAAAATCACTAAATTTGACTGTAATTATTCGCATCAATGTTAAAACCAACGTTACTGCGATATTTAGGAAACCGGCAATTGCAAACAATTTATAAAAATTAATTCAATAAACTGAATAGACTCCCAAGAGGAAGCGAATTAAAACTTTGTTGGGTTAATTTTTAACAACACATTTATTATTAATGAAATTTATAGGCACATACATATATATATATGTATATATATGTATATATATGTATATATTGTTTTTGCAATTGCTGTTGGTGCGAACGTTAATTTCTAACATTAAACATAAAACATTAATTGGCTTTTTTTTACAATGTGGCTGTTAGTATAACATAACAACGAGATGACACATTAATTCACTTGACCACCAGCTTAAAATTTTGTTTATACGGCATAGGGGGGCTAATATGGCCGGCCCGTGGTTACTGTTACTCTCTCTCTCTCTCTCTCTCTCTCTCTCTCTCTCTCTCTCTCTCTCTATCCATCTATCTATCTCTCTCTCTCTCTCTCTCTCTCTCTCTCTCCCTCTATCTATCTATCTATCTATCTATCTATCTATCTATCTCTCTCTCTCTCTCTCTCTCTATCTATCTATCTATCTATCTATCTATCTATCTCTCTTTCTGTCTGTCTGTCTCCCTCTCTGTCTATCTATTTATCCTTATGTCTTCGTCTCTCTCTCTCTCTCTCTGTCTCTCTCTCTCTTTCTCTTTCTCTTTCTCTCTTTCTCTGTCTATCTATCTGTCTACCTATCTATCCATCTATCTATCCATCTATCTATCTACATGTCTAACTCTCTACATATCTCTCCCACCTCACATCTCTCTCTGTCGATTGCTCTCTCTCTCTCTCTCTCTCTCTCTCTCTCTCTCTTTATCTATCTGTCTATCTCTCCCCCCTCTCTTTTCTCTATAATAATAACATACAATCATATAATCATTAGCTAGTGTGTTAACAATGTCCCTCAGCCTTTGATTCTGCAATGCCTCAACTGCTAGAGAGATACATGGACAACTAAACCGATTTAAATAGGAAATGGTGGAGTCATTTCATATCAAGAGAGCCGAGATCACACTCATATATCTACAAAACACTTTATAAAAACTATATCAAATATTTTTGGTATTTATTTTATTATGAATTAAAAAAAAAAAAAAGGATAAATAAATACGAAATTTTAGATTTAAAATTAATTGATAAAAAAATTTTTTTTTTTTAATGTTTATTATATGAATTTACTTACGAAAAACCATTTTTATGTGTATTTTAATTACTTTAATTTCTGTAGAGAGGATGAAGGCTTTATTAAGGAGGAGGAAAGACCTTTACCGGAAAATGAAAATCAAAGAAAGGTCTGGCTACTGTTCGAGTATCCAGAAAGTTCACAAGCCGCCAGAGTTGTAGCCATAATTAGTGTATTTGTTATATTGCTATCAATTGTTATATTTTGTCTAGAAACATTACCCGAATTTAAGCATTATAAGGTAAGCATAATTAACTTCAAATTTCCTTTCTTCTCTTCTTCACCCCACCCTTCATCCATAACATATTCGAATGACGAACATTTTAATATGAAATAAAAAAAAAACAAATAAATAAAAAGATCGAACGCCTTGCAAAATGAAGAGCAACGTTTGTCGCTCAGTTTGTAAGAAAATTGAAATAAATCTCGTACACAAAAAAAAAAAAAAAAAAAAATTGTAAACAATGGAGAAAATTCATTCATATTGAACCTTTTATTTCCGTCATCTTGAAATAAATAAAGTTCGATCTACTGCTGCCAATATCACAATTGAGGACAGCATCGTAAACGCGTCGGAAACACAAGCATTACTAATCCAGCATTTTGTTAGTAATCACAATACAAAATATATATAACGTAGACATTTAAAGAATAATAGAAATGAATTAGTAGAGCTTGTAACATAATGAAATGATTATCATGTGTCAATATAATACATCATACGTCATCAGTTATAGATGTCCCTATAAGATGATTCAGTAAATTGGAGACTTTATATCGATACGAATTGAAGGGCACTACTATTCTGGATGACAAATCTACTATCATAGTATATATAACACTATTCAAATTCGGTCCAGATTTACTACTCTTCGGTAGAATACACAATGACTTTTACCATTAAAAACTAATGTAAGATCGTACCAAATTTCAAATATGTCAACACATAAAGCAAGTAAAATGAGAATAATGAATAACATATGTAAATACAAAATGCGTAAGCGAGAAAATATAAGTTTATCTCGGATTTATATATACTACATCGTTAAATTAATCGGAATGTAAAGAATTCACGAGTAAATCCCATTCGTTTCGGATACCCATTCATATCAGATTCAAAAATGATAGCATATATCACAAGCATCAACTACATTATACATGTGTATAGTGCAATATTCCACGCCTTATTAATTTATACGGAACTTTCCATATTCTAAATGTTCTTTCCACGATTCCTAATGTTTAGAGCTTTTAAAATGTTCTTATCCGCCTGAGTGACCGAATAGTAGGTAAAAAATCTCGGCTAAGAGATCTGAGGGTGGTGGACTCAAATCTCAAGTGCGGTAGAGTTTTCAATGAAGCCGACATCTTTAGATTTAAGCGATATTTTCTTAACATTTTAAAGCAATTTTTATTAATTATTTCATTAACTTGTCCATTGCAGCCCATATAAGCTATAAGCGTAAAAGACAACCAAATCTCCTTTTTTTAGTTTAGAATAGAAAATTTCGCACAAATGTAATCAAAATCTACGCTCAAGAATGCCATTACTGCTATCATAACGGTAGCATTCAGTTTTCTATCATGTATAGGAAGAGAATACTATCTAAAGTATCAAATCTGCAGGCAACTCTCTGCTGCACACCTCGGATTGAATTCTAAAACCGAGGGTTTAATGCCCTATAATGACATTATAATTGTAATTTCAATTGAAAGGTAAGGCGACGAATTAGATCAATCTTCACTTTGAACTACGATAATATCTAGTTACTGTATGGTAAGGCGCACAGAAAGCTTAGAATAAATATTAGATACCAGCTGCACCGTAATGCAATCTGCTGGGCACCCAAACAGAATGCGTATTATGTTTATTCTTAACTGAAGCCAAGCGTAATCATTTTGAAACTAAAATTTAACATTTTTTGTTAGAAAGGAATTCTTTACATTTAATAATTGCTAGCTATCGCGGGCTACCTCATTGAAGCGACGCTTGATATTATCATAAAAATTGACCGATAATTCATCTTATCGATAAAAAGTCTGCTTAAAAAGTGATAGAAGATAGGAAATGATAAGAAATGAAAGTTCCCTTGGGCCTTGAACTCATTATCAGGCACGAGATCGTCTGACTCTTGGATATGAGCATAAAACTTGACCTTGCCTTTTTATATAACTGGTTTCCTTCGTACCATGAAGTATAGGTCCATCGAAGGAAACTTGATAAAAGCAAATCCGATATACGTATTCGGATGTCATTGGAAAATCTAGGAGAATTGGGAGTTTATAACTTATGAACTTAGGTTAAGGTTGAAAAGGTATAGAATTTTTACATACCTTTTCATATACTTTTCATCTTTCACTTATCCTAACCTCTGCCTATGTAGAATTGTAAAATTAATTAAAATTTCCATTTCTTGCATTAAATTTTTTGCAATTAACATTTATTTTAGGTGTTCAACACAACTACAAACGGCACAAAAATCGAGGAAGATGAGGTGCCTGACATAACAGATCCCTTCTTCCTTATAGAAACGTTATGTATTATTTGGTTTACATTTGAACTCACTGTCAGGTAATACACATTTCCATATAAGAAGTATGATATATATATATATATATATATATATATATATACTATACTGTTATAATTATTTAGTCGGATCACATGTACTAACTAACCATTTGAAAAATCATATATAAATTCATAGGTTCCTCGCTTGTCCGAACAAATTACATTTCTGCAGGGATGTCATGAATGTTATCGACATAATCGCCATCATTCCGTATTTCATTACATTGGGTACCGTTGTAGCCGAAGAGGAGGATACGTTAAATCTTCCGAAAGCGCCAGTTAGTCCACAGGTACGTTCATCCGTTGTCAATATATACATATGCATATACATATATATTACACATATATGTATATGTGCGCGTTTGACAAATACGATACTTGTGTATAAATGTTGAATTAAATAGAAAAAAAAAAAAAATTAAAAGAAGAAAAGAGACAAAACAAAAAAAAAAAAAGAAAAAAGAAAAACTTGTATTAAAATAATATATAGTTTAAAAAACATATTTATTCACAAACTAATACTTATCAAAAATTACTATTACTATTATTATTATTAATTATTATTATTATTATTATTACTTGAAATGCTCGTAAATAATTTCCTTTAGTTTTTTTTATATAAAAAAATTTCGTTTCCGTTTTTGTTAAAATTTAGTTTGGTAAAACTCTAAACTCTGTTTATTTCATTTCAATTTCTATTAAATTTTATGTATTATATTTGAACGTAAATATATATATATATATTAAAAATAAGAAGAATCTTTTTCATTTATTTATTGTTCTTATTATTATTATTATTATTATTATTATTATTATTATTACAATTATTATAATTATTATTATTATTATTTCGTTTTCTCTACATTTTTTTGTGATTATATAATTGTTGTAAAATACGTTATATTGAATTGTAATTTTTAGGACAAGTCATCGAATCAGGCTATGTCCTTGGCAATATTACGAGTGATACGATTAGTTCGAGTATTTCGAATATTTAAGTTATCTAGGCATTCGAAGGGTTTACAAATTTTAGGACGAACTCTGAAAGCCTCAATGCGGGAATTAGGTTTACTTATATTTTTCTTATTTATAGGTAAGTTTCACACCAACAATCAAGACAACAACAACAACAACAACAACAATAATAATAATAATAACAATATTAATAACAACAAACAACAACCACAAAAGCTACAAAAAAAAAAAAAAAAACAAAATTTTTTTCTTACATGCTTAAAACATGCAAAAAAAAACAGAGAAAGTAAAAAACGAAAAAAATCCTACTATATATTTTTGCTACACACTTTTCCATAAATTAACAAGAAAAACAAAAAAAAAAAAAAAAGAAAAGAAAAACAGCTACAAAAAACATAAAACTTGCTAAGCAACCTCAGGTTGTAGCTTTTGCTAAATAGGTTTAAAGCTTTATCAAAAGTATTATACCGGTGCCCTTAACTCTCGCTAAAGATGAATAACTCTGCACTTGATTAATATTCTTTATAAATGTATTATTTTTTTTTTTTTTTTTTTTTTTTTTTACTTTGTTTATAAAACACACTCCCACCTCCCTTAGCCCTTCTATATATCCCAAGCTTTTCGTATATGTGTTTAATTAATTACTTTCTTTAAATTAACCTAACAAAAACCAAATAAGAAGAAACTAATTACAATCTGCTATTATTTGTACTGTACCTTGAAAAGAAAAACAAAACAAAAAAAAGAAAAGAAAAGAAAAAAAACACACACACATATATTATTTGAACCAAGAGATAAAAAATATAAAACAAAAAAAAAAAAAAAACAAAACAAAAAAAAAGAAGCCTTAACAATAGCGAATTAATTTCTTTTTAATTTTTCTCCTAGTTTAGTCTAAATGTATTACATGTGTGTGAAGAAAATCCAACTACTCATCATCGAGTAGTCATTTAAGTATTTACTCTTTATTTAATAATATTAGAGTAGGGTTTATGTATTAACTAAATAAATATCCATTTTTTTTTTTTTTTTTTTTTTTTAATAAGTCCATAGGTATGAAATAAATACAAAAAGAAAAAAAAAAAAAGTATAGCTTTAGGTAAAAAGACAGTAAGAAGTCAGAGAAAAGAGTGATGTTTGATGTTTGAAAAAATTTACTCGAATTTTAGTCTATTACTCGAGATATACTTTGACAGAGTGATAAAGAAAAGAAAATTTTGCATTTTATTCAAAAAGGCAAAAATAAATAACAGTCGTTTGTAATTTTAATAAAGCAATCAAATGAAATCGAATACAAATTTACGGTTGGGGAAGAAGAATTCAATCTTAAATGTTGTAAATAACTCCATAAAAAAGTATATATATATATATATACATATATATACACATATATATAAATATATATATAACTTAGACAACCCCCCCGTCCGCCCATTAATTACGCTAACTAAGAATATTTCAAAGAAAAATTTTAAATGCTCATTCCCCTGTTGGTGTCTTCGAAAGTAAACGTGAACAAAACACATTTCTGTTAGAAATTTTCATTACATTTTTCTTTCAATCCTGGACCGGGATTTGGTCATTATTTGTAGGATATAATTCATACAGCGCACAGAAATTATGAAAGCGATGAAGCCACGGTTACGTTTCGTTCACATGCCCACATGCTTTAGTGGAAAGAGGAGACACGTGTTGTTCCTGAAAGACCTATAAGTGCACAAAGATAAGCTTTTGGCTAAGAATGTCATTTTGAAGATGAAAATGCATTTTCCCTTAAATAGAAAACGCTACAGAAATATGATAACTGATTTTTTGTGGCACAACCTGAATGGATTCAACTTGGACGAAAATGTAGTCTTGCAAATGCACTTTTTTGCATTTCCTATAATAACGTGACTATTATTCGCTTATATCGCGAATCGAATGAGACATGATATGGAAAGCAATATTAAGACAAAATTAGAACGTTTATGTATAACATGATTAGGATCTCCCGGATCGCTCACCTAAATGAAATCAATTTTAATATACCATTGCCGGGATGCCTTTACTTTCAATAAAATCTATTTTACGCAATCATATCCAAAGACAGATCTTATATGCTTATATACGTAGGTTCTCTCTCATATATTCCAATCCAAAGGCGATGTCAAATATAAAAAGAAAAATTGTTGTTTTAGAATTTTCTCGATTTTCTCTAAGTTCGATATCGATGCGAGTATAAAGGATTCTGTATTTGTTTTTTTTTTTTTTGTTTTTTTTCATTGGATTTGATGACTCCTTATTAAACTTAATCGAATTGGCTATGACTATCGCTGCTAGTTGTTTTTATAAAATCAAAGCCGCACATTGCTTTTAATTTTATTGAAAATGTTTTTTTTCCAATTTGGTTTTTGGCCATGAAAATTATCTTAAGACGTTCTCTTAGATGCTCTCCCTCTCTTCATGTTTCTCTTCCACTCTCCTATCTTTATTATAATCATCGTCATCCGCAACCATGCGAGACGTAATAAACTAAAGAAAATTGAAATTGAAATCTCTATGATGTTAACAATATGCAGTAGAAATCTTTTATTAAATCTTTACCAACGTTGCAAATTTTCAATTGTTTTAAAATTTGGAAACTTGAATAAAAAATTTGAGATAGAGAGCTGAAATATATTAAGAAACTCTAACCGATTTTGACTATGGCTTGCACTTATGGAAGAAAATAAGAAATCTTTCATTTTTTTTTCAATCTTAAGTAAGGGAGGAAACGATGATATTCCTCTTTAGCGCTTAATTCTTGACTAGACTTATCATCTACGAGCTATATCTAAATCAGAAATCTTAGTAAATCTACTATATAGTCAAGCTAAAATCTTTGTTCACTTCTAGCTTTCGATTCTATTTCGCTCAATTGAATTCCACAAAGATATTATTTACAACATTTTATAATAATTAAGTTATATATATATCAAAACAAAAAAAAAAAAAAAAAAAAAGGCAAAATAATATTTTAATAATCATTTGATTAAATTTAAAATTGCAAAGATTCTGTTTCCGTAGTTGCGCTTTAACTGAATGAAACTTAGAAAGCAAATCACATAAATTTATTATCAAAAATGTTTTCAGTATTTAATGGCATTTTTGACAGATTCTTTTTTTTTTCTTTTTTTTTTTTTAATTCTGTAAATGTGTTGCGTGCTTTTTACACTTGTTAAAGTTCTCTTAAACGTTACATCATACTTATACCTACATTACAATTATATACATATATATATATATATATATATATATATATATATATATATATATATA